TCAAGACTTTGTATGCGAAGTTCGAGAACTGGTGATCTTGCTCAATTTGACCCAGAAATCGAACGAACATTCAACTTTCGAAGAAGACAACGGCTTGAAACATACCAAAAACAAAAAGAGAAGACATGGCAAATGAAAATTTTAATCAAATAGCCATCGGGGCTAATCTAAGAATAGCACAACCGAACATAGCTGCAGCAATGAAAATACAAGGCTCGTGGGAGAGGAGATGGTTCCATCGATAATGGAAAGCCAGTCCAGTATCATATATTCGGCGTTTGGTTAGGCAGACTTCAACCTGAGAATAGATGTCATCAACATGTTTCGAAATGCGCTATAATTTTTTGGGAAAGCTACAGAGAATCCCAACACTTATATATCAAGATTTCTGGACATGTGTTCAACAATTGAGTATCCAAGGGTTTCAAGCGAAGCAATTAGACTAAGTCTCTTCCCATACACATTGAGGGATTCAGCAAAGGAATGGTTAGACACTTGCCCACTACAGAGCATCATAACATGGAACCAATTGAGTTAGAAATTTCTTAGAAAATATTTTCCACCAAAAAGGATTGCAAAGCTAATGAACGAGATCACTACTTTTCAGCAAATGGACTCAGAATGCTATTCAGAGGTTTGGGAACGATACAAGGGTTTACTTTGCCAATGCCCACAACACGGGTTGCAAAAGTGGCTTCAAGTGCAATACTTCTACATTGGCTTGAACCCTATTAGCAAGGCTAACGTAGACTCTGCATGCAATGATTCTATCACAAAAAGAACTGCGGACCGGTCTACCAAATCATGAAGGATTTGGCATTTACCAGATCATTTTGGCCTACTGAAAGAATGAGTGGAAAGAAAGCTGTTGGGGTATTCGAAGTTGATTATTTAACAGCACTTTCAGCACAACTAGCATCATTGGCACAGAAGGTAGATCAAATGAGTGTAGCCCAGACAATGAGGCTGAAATGCAAACATTGTGGAGAGAACCACGAGAGTGTTGATTGTAACGTAGGATCTTCTTTTGCTCAGAGGTAGAAGACGTGAACTACACTCTGAATTTTCAAAGGCAACAACACAATTCAAATCATAATACATATTACCCAAGCTGGAGAAATCACCCAGGTTTTCAATGGAATAATAATCATGGAGCTTAGATCGCGCCATAACAGACCGCACCATCCGAATTTTAGCAGAATGAGAAGAAGTCTTTGCTAAAAAATCTTGTGACTAAGTTAGCAGAAATATCCACTTGATACATGCAAATAAACGGATAAGAGCTTACAAGTTTAGGGTGCTATCATAAAAAATTTGGAGAATCAAATGGGACAAATAGCCAAGGCACTTTCAAAGAGATTACCAGGAACATTGCCTAGCAACACCGAAACAAACCCTAAGGAGCACTGCAAGGCTATAACTACTCGCAGTGGGGTACAGCTACCTGAAATAAATGTGAACTGGTTGCTACACTAGAGAAAGTACCTACTAGGGTTGAGGAGCATTTGGAAGAATCTACACGAAACAAAGAACAAGAAGAAGTACCAGAGGGTCCAAAGGTTAAGGAACCCGCTCCTACCAAAGAAATGGTTCAACCACTTCCATTCCCACATAGGCTACAAAAGTATAAGCTGGACAAGCAATTTTCGAAGTTTCTTGAGATATTCAAAAAGCTACAGATCAATATACCATTTGTGGATGCACTTGCACAAATGCCTAGCTATGTGAAATTTATGAAAGAAATACTCACAAATAAAAAGAAGCTCAAGGATTTGGGGACAGTGATGTTGAATGAAGAATGTAGTGTCATCTTACAGAATAAGCTACCACCTAAACTAAAGGACCCAAGGAGTTTTGCTATCCCTTGCACTATTGGTAACATGAAATTTGATAAAGTTCTCTGTGATTTAGGTGCTAGTATTAACCTCACGCCTTATTCTATTTTTAGGAAATTAAACTCGGAAGAGGCGAAGGCAACATCGATCTCATTGTAGTTGGCAGATAGGTCCATTAAATTTTCCAGGGGAATTATTGAAGACATATTGGTCAAGGTTGATAAATTTCTTTATCTTGCGGATTTAGTCATTCTTGGCTGAAGAGGATAAAGACGTGCCATTGATATTGGGAAAATCGTTCCTTGCAACGTGTCGAGCGTTAATAGATGTTCAAAAATGACAATTGATGTTACGATTAAATAATGAGCAGGTGACATTCAACGTTTTCAGTGCTATCAAATATCCTACAGAATCAGATAGCAATTTGCGCATTGACATGGTGGATTTGACTGTGGAAGAGACTTTCATTTTTGAGAATCCTCAAGACCACTTGGAGAATCTTCTTGTCCACTCATGAGATAAAACATTAATAGTTGAAGAGATAAATCAGATAACTTACGTTATGGAATCTGCTCCACCTATTAGGAGAAGAAAATTTGAGAAACTTGGTTTAGGACCAAGTAAACCACTACCTTCTGTTCAGAACGCACCAATTCTTGAGCTCAAGCAATTGCCATCACATTTGAGGTATGCATATTTAGGAGAGTCGTCTACACTCCCTGTGATTATTGCAAACGAGATGATGGAGTTAGAAGAACTGAGATTACTAAGGGTCTAGCGGGAACACAAAATAGCCATTGGGTGGTCTATAGCAGACATCAGAGGAATTAGTCCATCGATATGCATGCACAAAATATTAATGGAAGAAGAGTATAAGCCAACGGTGGAAAATCAGTGCAAATTGAACCCCGCCATGAAGGACGTTGTGCGAGCAGAGATATTGAAACTCCTTGACGTAGCATCATCTATCTGATTTATGATAGCAAGTGGGTTAGTCCAATCCATGTTGTTTCAAAGAAATGAGGTATTACAGTGGTAAAGAATGAGAACAATGAGCTGATACCAACAAGACCAGTCATAGGATGGAGAATATGTATAGACTACAAAAAACTGAACAATACAACTAGAAATGATCACTTTCCTTTGCCCTTTTTCGATAAGATGTTGGAACGATTAGCTGGACATTCGCACTAATATTTCTTGGATGGGTACTCGAGTTACAATCAGATTGCAGTAGTTCTAGAAGATCAGGAGAAGACTACATTTACATGCCCTTATGATACTTCTGCATATAGATGGATGCCATTCGGGTTATGTAATACCCCTGCCACATTTCAGCGATGCATGATGGTAATTTTTTCAGATATGGTGGAGAAAATTATTGAAGTCTTCATAGACGACTTTTCAGTGTTTGGTTCATCATTTGAAAATTGCCTCTCAAATTTGGGAATGGTCTTACAGCATTGTGGGAAACGAATTTGGTACTAAACTGAGAGAAGTGCCACTTCATGGTATAAGAAGGAATAGTACTTGGGCACAAGATTTTAGCAAATGGTATCAAAGTGGATAAAGCAAAGATTCAAGTAATAGAGAAGCTTCCTCCACCAACTTCCGTTAAGGGAGTACGTAGCTTCCTCGGCCATGCAGGGTTCTACAGGAGGTTTATTAAGGATTTCTATAAAATCACAAAGTCACTCTGTAACTTGCTAGAAAAGGACACACCATTCACCTTGTCTGAAGAGTGTTTGATAGCCTTCAACACTAAAAGAAAAGTTAATTTCTGCATCGGTTATAGTTACACCAGATTGGGACCTGCCATTCGAACTAATGTGCGACGCTAGTGATTATGCACTGGGGCCAGTATTGGATCAAAGAAAAAATAAAATTCTCCATGTTATCTACTACGCAAGCAAGAATTTGACAGAGCCACAGCTGAATTATGCAACCACAGAAAAGGAGCTATTGGCCATTGTGTTTGCCTTCGATAAATTCAGATCATATCTCTTGGGACAAAAGGTTATTATCTACACAGATCATGCAGCCCTGAAATATATAATGTCTAAAAAGGATGCGAAGCCCAGGTTGATTCGGTGGATACTCCTCCTTCAAGAGTTTGATTTGGAGATTTGAGACAAAAAGGGATGTGAAAATATGGTAGCAGACCATCTTTCCAGACTTGAATAAGCAGAACAAAAAGACGAGGGCGATATAAAGGATTCTTTCCTAGATGAGCGTATCTTTGCAGTTGACAATGGGTCATGGCATGCAGACATAGTAAACTACTTGGCGTGTAATGTGCTTCCTCCTGAGTTTACACACCACCAAAGGAAGAAGTTCTTTTCAGAGTTGAAGTATTGTCATTAGGAAGATCCCATCTTATACAGGAGAGGTGCTGATCAAATCATCCGATGGTGTGTACCGAATGAAGAGGTCTCTAAAATTCTGGAGTGTTGCCACTCTTCTGCTTATGCTGGGCATTTTGGGTATTCTAAGACAGCAGTGAAGGTTTTACAATTAGGATTTTATTGGTCGTCACTATTTAAGGATGCACATGAATATGTGAAATAATGTAATCAATGCCAACGTACAGGGACGATCTCCAAAAAGAATGAGATGCCTTTGAATTCGATTCTAGAAGTGGAGTTCTTTGATTTTTGGGGAATCGATCTTATGGGACCATTTTCTTCTTCTTATAAAAATCAGTACATATTGGTGGCAGTTGACTACATATCGAAATGAGTAGAAGCAGTAACAGCACCAACTAATGATGCTCGAGTGGTTGTGAATTTTCTGAAGAAGAACATATTCTCGCGCTTTGGCACTCCTCGAACTATCAACAGCGATGGCGGTAAACATTTTTGTACCGGACTTTTGGAATCAATATTAGCAAAATATGGGATGAAATATCGAGTTGTTGCACCTTATCACCCCCAAACAAGTGGCCAGGTGGAAGTGTCAAATAGGGAGCTAACGAGAATTCTCGAGAAGACAGTGAATAGCTCAAGAACTGATTGATCACGAAAACGTGATGATGCATTATGGGCACACAAAACTGCCTACAGAACACCAATAGGCATGTCACCATATCGCCTTGTATTTGGAAAAGCTTGTCACCTTTCAGTAGAATTGGAGCATCGAGCATATTAGGCAGTAAAGCAGTTAAACATGAACCTAATAGTAGCTAAAGATAAGAGGATGCTACAGTTGAATGAGTTGGATGAATTTCGGATGGATGCCTATGAGAATGCAAAACTTTACAAGGAAAGGACAAAAAAACTACATGATAAGTACATGCAGAGGCATGAGTTCACTCCAAGTCAAAAAGTACTATTGTTCAATTCTAGGTTAAAACTTTTTTCAGGGAAATTGCGTTCTAGATGGTCTGGACCATTTACAATTGTTCAAGTCTTTCCACATGGGGCAGTTGAAGTGGCTCATGAGACAAAAGGAACATTCAAACTAAATGGGCAGCGGTTGAAAGCATATTGGGGTGGTGACTTTGAGAAAGAGAAGTCACTCACCCAACTTCATGACCCAAAATGATAGATCTGATAGTCTAGCTAAAGACTATAAATTAAGCGCTAATTGGAAGGCAACCCAACTTCTAACACTTTTATTTATTTTGTTTTCTGCATCGTATAGCATATATATTTGTTTTGATTACTATGTTGCATTAGATTTTGACACATTTTAATTTGTAGGGTATCACCATCCTTAATACTATCGTTAGGCCATTGAATTTATTGTTGATATTTTGATTGTTTGGGCTAAGTAACACATGTTCTAGATTACTTGTTTTCTTTAATGTTTGATTTGACTGTTATGTGCAGGGACATGACAGCGTGAAACACTCAAACCAACATAAACCAAGGGAAAAAACATAATGAAAAATTTTCCTAGTCGTCACACATAGGGTCTCATATATTCAACAAAAAATTTGGGGAGTCCCTTCTTTCTTATCCCTTTATGTGCTTATTTATACTTCATGGCATTGAAAACAATGTCGATTTTAAGTTTGGGGGTGAAAAAAAAATTTAGTTTTTGTTTTTTTATGTTTTGTGTTTTTGTGTGTTTGTCTTAGTGATAAAATAAAAATAAAAATAAAAAATAATAATAAAAAAAGAGAGAAAAAAATCTCTTTTATTCAGTTGTGTGCTTGTGTGGGTTAGACAGTCCAGGTCAACAATGATAATTAAATTTGAGATTTAGTGTTGATTTATGAACTATGGATAGGTTGCATACTAGACTGATTGAAACTTAACCTTGTAAAACTTGATACTATACGCGCACTAGAATTGAGTTTGACATTGTGATGAAATGAGTTGTTTCATGCTCTTGATAGGTTGGTTTAGTTGGACATAGATGCTTTACCTAAAGCATACTAAACTAATTATCCTTAGACCATATATAGCACTGTTTGGAGTGATTTTACTATTGTAGGAAGATACGAATATGGTCAGGGATTCCTTGTGTGAAAAAAAATAAAAATAAAATTGTGTGGATTGTTTGAGATAAACATGATAAAATTGGGTGAAAGTCTTGAGTTGGACGTCAGTTTTCTTGAATAGGTGTATGATAAAGGACATTGCACAAATCAAGGCATATATTTTAAAATTAAAACTTCTCTTTGAAATCTTTATGACTCGAGCAATTAAGCCTGCAATGGTATCTTAAAACCTGATGCTCAAAAGTCACCTGACTTGGGAGACATTGGCTTAAAATTCGCTACAGGGGTTATTTAGAAAGCAATCAAAGATGAAGTTGCCCTTAAAAAAAAAAATAATAATAATAATAATAATTGTTCTCGTCGAAGCCTTTTTGACTCAGATTATTAAGTCTGTAAGGTTATCTCAAAATCTGATGCCCTCAAGTCATCGACCTAAAACCTGCTACATGGGTCATCTAAAAAGTTTAAGGGAGAGTGAAAAAATAATAAAAAAAAATGTACTAAATGCCTTGTTAAGTCCTAATACTTGTTCGAGGGAATTTGACTTTCGATGAAGGATAATTAGTCTAGTTAAGTCTTGACTGTCGAAGCAATCAAATAATTGAAGAATCCTTATTCATCGAGGTGTTGACTTGCTATTAGTGATGTCTTCCTGAATTGGAGAGGGTGAGAATAGTAATGAAAAAAAATGAACCTTAGATCACACAATAGGAAATGAGTAAAAAACAAATAAGTTTGGGTGTGTGAATCTTACTAGAGATGAAATGATATATTTGACTATAGAGGGTCGGAAATTGGAACAACTTGTGAATTCTTTAATGTCAACTTAATTTTTCACACACCCACGTCGATTTTGTATTGGAAGAGTGTGTGTTGGGGTATTGCGACTTTGAAGTGATTTATAGATTTAATACGGTGATCTCAAATCCTGAAGTAGGGGAAAAAAAAGATTCTCCAACCAAATATTTTTGCATGCTTGTGTGTTTGTTGCTATTTAAGTTTTAGTTTTGTTCGAGGACGAATAAATGTTTAAGTTTGGGGGTATATGATAAGTACAATTTGTGCACTTATTTAAACCGTATTATTAAACTTTTATGTCGTCAATTTATTAATTTCTATTTAACTTGGGTTAATTTTAATTTCTTTTTAGTGACGAACTCGTTCGGAGCAAATGGAGAAGGGTGAAGAACAAATTCGCCGTTGGAGGGAAAGTTTGGGAATCAAATTCTACACTTTGAAAATTCAAGGACTTGACTTGAACTTAGGAAAGGCATTGGTTGCATAATTAATTGAGTTCAAGGATTAAATTGTATGATTTTAAAGATAATTGGAATTCGAGTGGGAGGAATTGATTGGGCTGCTAGGGTGTATATATAATAGACACGCACAGAAAGCCGAAGAGGGGAGTATTAGAGGGCAGCCAATTTTCTCTTATACACACAAGAACTCATATAAAAAAGTGAGTTAGCTGGAGAACAAAGAAAAACGACGGAGGCTTCCATTGTTGAAAGAAAATATGCATACATCACAAAAGAGAAAAACCATAGGAAAAGGGCTACGGTTTGGAAGAAAAAAAAAAGAGGGCAGCTTGCTATTGGAGTTAAAAAAAAAAAAAAAAAAGGGGGAAATGGAAAATGGCAGAAAAAGAGAGGCCGAAAACTGAAGCGGTTGAATTAATCAATTCGGCCAGCTGCTGGGAGAATTGGTGGGCTGCAAAGTTGACCCGTACACATATATAATTCCCACAGAACGAGGCGATGGACAGAAATGGAAGGATAAAAAGTGGCAGAAACTGAGCAATCTTCGGCTGATTGTGGGGAGTTTTTTGTGTCAAAAATTTCAGTTGGTTGCTGCAAATACTTGTTATTGGAGTAAAAAAAAAAAAAAAAAAGGAGGCAATGGAAAATGGCAGAAAAAGAGAGGCCGAAAACTGAAGCGGTTGAATTAATCAATTCGGCCAGCTGCTGGGAGAATTGGTGGGCTGCAAAGTTGACCCGTACACATATATAATTCCCACAGAACGAGGCGATGGACAGAAATGGAAGGATAAAAAGTGGCAGAAACTGAGCAATCTTCGGCTGATTGTGGGGAGTTTTTTGTGTCAAAAATTTCAGTTGGTTGCTGCAAATAAAGTCAGTAGTTGGCTGGAGAAAAACATAGAAGAAAAGTGCTGAAAAATATAGACAAATTGGCGGCTGATTACATGAATTAATTTGGAACCGACACAGATTGAGGTGGCAGCTTTTGGAAGGAATTTGGAAATCATTCACGTTCTGTCAATTATTCGATGATGTTGTTCCAACTTTATTTGTTTAATTTTGACAATATATGTGGCTAATTTTTCTAATGCTAGGATGTGATGAACCCTTATTATGAAGTTGTTACTTCGAATAGATTAAACTGACATTAAATTCGCTTAATTGTTTTGGTGTTTATTATGGTTTAACTTGCTTTTCAATTATTTGGCCAATAATTGAATTGTTTGTGGATTTTATTGTCATAAAGAGAGATAATAGGATCGTTAGCTCGTAATAATAAATATTGTGAGGTTCGATAGAGGACAAAGATATACCTCTATACTTCACATGGTTGTTAAAGATGTTCTAGCTCGTTAATGCTTTTTTACACGTTCGTATTTTTCATAAATATATAGGAAAATCGTGTGTAGGTAGGGATGTCAAATGGGCCGAGCGATCGTCAAAACCCGGCTAGTGGGCAGCCCGAGCCCAAGCCGAGCAGGGGCTCAATGCTCGGCTCGTCGAGCCCATGAGCTTGTGCCCACGAGCTGCTAGTGGGCTCGTCAAAAAATATTAATTTTTTTAAAAAAATGTCCAAAATGTGCAAATTTACCAAAAAAAAATTTTAAAAATTAAAAAAATCACGAGTTAACGAACAACTCGTGAGCTCCGCTCGGCCCGCGAGCTCGTGAAATTACGAGCTTGAGCTCGGCTCGTCTTCCACGAGACACGAGCCCGAACCGAGCTCGTGGGTTAAAGGGCCAAGCCTAGCCATCACTACGTGTAGGATTAGATTTAATTGCTATCGAGAGAGGCTTTTAAATAAAATAGGAACATTGACCAACAAGCATGATTTCAAATTGTCAAACTAAAATAGGAACATTTACCATCACTACGTGTAGGATTAGATTTAATTCTATCGAGAGAGGCTTTTAAATAAAATAGGAACATTGACCAACAAGCATGATCCCACATCTTAGCAATACTTCTAGCAAATTTGATAAATTTTTACTTTGCTTTCTATTTAATTGATAGATTTAATAATATTAGTTACAACTTGACCTTACTATTCGATTAAGGGAATTATTAGCTTTAACTCGATCAAACATATAGTCCTCGTGGGTTCGGCACTCTATACACCACTTTATTACTTATTGACAATTTCATTTACTTGCGGGTAATCAAACGACCAGAAAACCACATGTATTATCATCTAACATTAAACAAGATCCTCAATTTGATAACCTTAACACAAGCACAATCCCGTGCTATATCTATGTATGCTAAAATAATTTGGATGACGTTATTATTTCAAGTTACCAATTGCATTGTAATGTAGTCCAGTAAATTTCACTATTTCTCGAGTTCAATTATAAATGTTGTTCACGAAATATTTTCTTTCGATTTAAAACTATCGCAAGTGTACGGTTCGTTAACAAGTAATAAAGTGGATCAAATGAGTCCGAATATCATTCCACAGAGATTGATTAGTTCGAATTTTATCTATCGTAGCCTTAACCGAAAATAAATTATCGAAGTGAATGTAAACCTAATTAAACGCTAATCTTGGAAAGAAACCCTAATTATGCGAATTTTATGATTAAATTGAAATTAATATACAAAATAATATTTTAACACTCTAGAATAAAATCAAATGTTGAGAACGCACGTTATTGTAATCAATAGAAATTAAACACACTAGGATCACAATTTTCTATGCAATTATCACTTTAAACCCTAGTTTCACAATATGACAACACACTTCAATTGTTGACGAATCAATGTTCCTAAATCTATCAAATACTCTCTCTCGAGATGTATCGAACCTATTTCTACATACCACGGGCCTATATTCCTATGACAAGTGCATATGTAAAAATGCATGCAGTTTTATGAACACTTAAAGATTCACGCAGGGCATAGCGGTATATTTCTATCCCCTATCGGACCCTACGACGATTTATATTATGTCGAATCTATTCCAATTCTCTTGAATGCAAAAATAAATCACCCAAACTCACACAATTACAAACCCTTAATTGCGGAAACAATAATTGCACATAAATCATTCAAAACAATAGAAATATGTCTTAATATCAAATTGCAAAACTAGAAAATTAAAGATCTAATTACATGGTACATCGATCTCCTAGCACATGAGA